CTCTCTGCTTTCTCTCCTTTGCCCTCCAACAGAGACTGGGAGCTGCCGATCTCTTGCCTTCTCTTCTCCGCAGGCTGCCGTCCGTCTGGGAAAGCTGCCCTGCCCGCCAGCAGAGACTGGGAGCTGCCGATCTCTCTGCCTTCTCTTCTCCGCAGGCTGCCGTCTGTCTGGGAAAGCTGCCCTGCCCGCCAGCAGAGACTGGGAGCTGCCGATCTCTCTGCCTTCTCTTCTCGCAGGCTGTCGATCCTGTCTGGGGGAAAGCTGCCCTGCCTGCCAATAAGAGACCGCTCCAGTGCTTGACAACAGCCAGCCCAGGGCATGTGAATCCTTTCCCTTGAGGATTGTCGCACAAGAAGTCTCGCGGGGGAGATCAGACGGCGCCAGCTCGCCATGCCGGTGGAGACCCTCCAAGCCAGCCGTGCCATGAGCACCGTGACGGCCACAGCCCCTTTCACCTCCGCCATGCCCTTCCGTATCCTCAACAAGGGGCCTGAATACTTTCGCAGGCCTCCGGTCAGCACCTCCCGGAAGCTCAGCGCCGTGGAACGTCTGGAGGCGGACAAAGCCAAGTACGTCAAGAGTCAACAAGTGGCCACCACCAAACAGGACCCCATCCGGCCATTGCTGCTCAAACAGCCGCTCTTCACCCCTGGCGTCAGGCGGGCAATATTCACCCCCAACCGCAAGGTCCCTCAAGTGGGGCGGCGGGGAGAAGGCGGCGGGGCCAAATCGTCCCTCAACTTGGAAATCCTCAATAACTTGATCAATTTTTGCGACAGCCCCCTTGCCTTCCCCAAACCGGAGCTGAGCCCTTCGGACAGCCCGTGGATATCCAAGGTCCATAGCCGGAATCTGGACAACCTCCCTTCCACCCCTAAGAAGAAGCCCATGACCGACATGAGCAAACTCTCGCAAAGTTCGGCGTCTTCCAAGCCATCCAGCACTGTAGCCGTCCGCCGAGTGGACGTCCGGCCCTGCGGTGTGTCGCCGGCCAGAGGTACCCCTGCTATCCAACTGTCTCCGCTCCCTGCTCCCCCAGCGCCCCCAAAAACCTGCCTGCCACCCCTCTCAGCTGCCCGAGCCCGAGGGGAGAGCCGCGGACCGATAGCGCCAAACGCCAGACCTTGTTACACCGGTCCAAATCGGACTTGAGCGACCGATATTCGCGGGCCACGGCCGACTTGGAACGCTTCTTCAACTATTGCGGTTTGGATCCCGAGGACGTCGGCGACATGGAGATGGAGAGGTTCACTCGAGCCAGCTCGGATATTGTGTCCGTCAAGTTCCACAGCGTCAGCACCAGCAGTTCGGTGGGGACCCACTCCCGACGCAGCACCGTCACCGTAGAGGACAGGCAAGCCGAACGCATGCCGTACGGGATCTCCATCATCGAACGCAATGCTCGGGTCATTAAGTGGCTTTATGGACTCCGACAGGCCAAAGAGGCGCAGAAGGTATCCAACGTATAGCAGCCGTCGGTGAGGGGGTGGGTGGGAACTCCAACGACGAGGTTCGAGCCCCTCAACATTGTCCGAGGCTCTTTATTTCTGTTTGCAACTCGTCGTCTCCAGGACTCGTCACATTAACCTTCAAATCTTTTCCACCATGAGCGTTTTGGAATCGTGCACGGATTGCTTGCACTCTGTTCCCCATCCAAGCTTGAGGAGAACACTGTAGGGCCCTTGGTGCTGTCCGAGCTTGGCTGTTTTGCTTGCAGACATTTCGTGACCCAACTTGGTAACGTCATCCTTGCTAGATGGGAGGGGGGGTTTTTTTGCTCTCTGTTTATAAACAAGTGACTTGTCCTGTTTGTATCGGTGGGGAAGTGTTCTTCGTGGTTCCTTTGATAAGGCTGTTGTTTACTGTCGGGTCCTTGGTGGTCTCTGAGCTTGGCGGTTTTCTTGCAGACGTTTCGTGACCCAACTAAGGAACATCATCAGTGCTAGAAGGGAGTGGGGATTGCGGAGAGGAGGAGGGGGACAATGGCCATTTTGGGGTCCTTGGGGGCTCTCTGAGGTTGATGGTTTTCTTGCAACCATCTCATCACCCAACTAGGCGACATCATCAATGTTAGAAGGGAGTGGGTTTTGTGCGTGGCCTAAGGGCAGGACTAGAACTCACAACCTAAGAGAGCACCAAGGACTTCACCGTTCATCCCTGAGGTACAAATCCGCTCTTCTATTGTTTATTATTTACTGAAATAAATATAACTCAGACGTCCTTCACCCATTCGAAATTTTCCAAGAGGGGAACCAGCCTGGTTCTCCGGTGGCTGTGGATGATGGGAGTCACGGATTATATTACTTTTGAAGGGCATCTCTTCGAGGACCCTCATTTCGAGACTCGGCGGGTGTCCTTAAAAACGGCACCCACCCACCCCCGTCCTCCCTTCTTTTCTCTCAGGGAAAGCCCCCCCCCCAAATTGAAGTCGCCTCACAGAAGGAGGTTGCCATGTCCTCCCCACTCTGATTGTGCCATAGCAGTGCCAGCTATACGTCCCGTGCCACGTGATCGCGTTTTGGAAGTGACATCACGGGATGCCCTTGGAGCTTGCCCACGATGCCCAGGGCATCGTCCTGCCGTCGGCATCGCCCGGTTAACCCTCGCTTCCTCTCCTTTACACCTATTGCTCAGGAGTGGGGGGAAAACTCCCCACCAAGACTATGATATCAGAAGCCGAGATGGTTTCTCTCCAAGGGTGGCATGACACCCTCGCCTCTGGGAGCCGAGTTCGAGTCTTAAGGGGGGGATTTTTTTAGCCAAAGCAACAACAGCACCAGGGAACAATAGAAGGCGGAGAGAGCTGGAAAATCCCCACGTTTTATTGTTAAGCAGGTGCAAGAATGCAAAAAAAAAAAACGTCTTGGCTTACGACCAAGAAAAGCTTCCTGGCAGAGCACGGGGCAAAATCCATGCCACCTCCTTGTATGCAAATGAGAGGTTTTTGGTGGGCCACTCCCACAAGAGGAGGCTTGTGGGCGTGGCTTAGGCCAGGTGAGGGACAGGTACCCATCTGCAGGTCGGTGTTCGAGAGAGAGTCTAAAATTCCCACTTAGGGTTACAGGCAAGTCCTCGACTTACGGCGCTTCGTTTAGTGACCAAAGTTACAACATCACAGAAAAACGGAAGGTTTTTTTTTATACGGCTTTGGACCGTTTTAAGCATCCCTGGCGGTCACGCGATCAAAAATTTGGGCCTGTATTGATGACGGGTGCAGCATCCTGGGCTCATCCGATTGGCGTTCGTGAACCCCCTCCCAGCCAATGGAGGAAGCCGGTTTGGCTTAACGACTGCACGATTCGCTTAAGAACCTGCGGTGATTATGCCGAGAAGGTTGTAAAATGGGGCGAAACTCACTGAACCGTGAAATTGTGGGCTCCATCCATTGTTGGCCGTAAATCGAGGATTAACCTGTAACTGGGCTTGGGGATGATGGGAGTTGTAGTCCCCCAAGCTTGGAAAGTGCCATATATGGTCAAAATGCTTTTGTGATTCTTTTTTTTTTTTTGCTTATTGGGGTGAGTTTTTTTTTTTTTTTTTGGCTTCCAATTATCTGTTGTCTTTTTTTCTCCCTTCTGGAGAAAAAAAAACCCTGCTCCATAAAATCAGCCTGATATATTTTAGCCAAACCTGGCTAAATGCGAATGCATCCTTTGTGTCTGGGTATCTTCTAGTCCAGCCTCTCGCTACCCACCTTTCCTGCCCATCCTTGTTGAGCGAAACGGAGTCAGACATTATTCCGGGGAAAAAAAAAAAAAAGCAGCTGCCTCTTTTGACATCATAAGCCTTCCTGGCTCGTGCAGATAGAAATTGGGCCAAAATGGGTTCTTATTTTGCAAGAATGGGGACGGCAGTTGAGAAGGTGGCAAAAGACAGGAAGAGATTCCTCTCTTGCTCGGGCAGCCTTGCCCAATGGTGTCAGCTGCCAGATGTCCTGCGGATGGACAGTATTTCTCTCGGAGGAGCTGGCTGCCCATCCCGTTAACAGGCAGCAAATCGAGGCAAATTGTTTTGGGAAATCCTAGAAAGTAGATCGGGAGGAGACCTCAAGAGGTCATCTAGTTCAACCCCCTGCCCGATGCAGGAGCCCGGATTGCTTTGGCCTGTGGTTTTATTCCTGGAGCAGATAGAAGAAGCCAGACGTTTTGTGAGGAGACGCAATTTTACGTCTTCAGGCACAGGTAGTCCTCGATTTACAGCCCTTTTCATTTAGTGACCGTGTGGCGTTATAACGGCACTGGAAAAAAAGTGACTTACGACCGTTTTCATGCTTGCAACCATTGAAGCCTCCCCCGTGGCTTCACCTGGTCAAAATTCAGGCGCGTGGCAACTGACTCGTATTTATGACAGGTGGCAGTGTCCCGGGAGTGTCACCTGATCCCCTTTTGCGACCACACTTAACGACCATGTTACTAACAGCTGTGCTGATTCGCTTAACATCTGTGGCAAGAAAGGTCGTAAAAGGCCCCCCCCATGAAACTCACTTAACAACTGTCTCATTTAGCGACAAAAATCCTAGGCTAGATTGTGGTTGTAAATCGAGGACTATACTTATGCTGAATTTTAATCCCCAGCACTCTGAAATATCTAGAATCGCTCTTTGCCACCTCCAAAATAATTTGGTTTATCGTTGCATTGCATAATCCTTTTGAAGTCTGTTGGAAGCTTCAAAGACGACCCCCCCTCTGTTTTTAAATCTCATTTCCCAATAAAGATGGTTTGTTTGTTTGTTTTTCACTTACGGGGGACTACAGTTCCCATCATCCCTGGGGGACTACAGCTCCCATCATCCCTGACTGCGTTTTAGGAACCTCGAGATCTGACGTCGATATCGTTTGCAGGACACGTAAGTTCAGGGCAGTGATTCTGTAGGGAAATATTTCTTCAAAAGAGAAGGGGAAAAAAAATTGTTCTGAAAATGTCTGAATCCACCATTGAGGGGTATGAAGTGGCTGAGTTAGCACAATGACCAATCCTTCCGTTCAGACCAACAGAGTTGGAAGGGACCTTGGAGGTCTTCTAGTCCAACCCCCTCTTGCAGGAAACCCTACATCACTTCAGACAAATGGTTATCCAACATCTTCTGGAAACCTCCATTGATGGAGCACCTGCAACTTCTGGTGGCAAGTAGTTCCACTGACTAATTGTTCTCACTGTCAGGAAATTTCTCCTTAGTTCCAGGTTGCTTCTCTCCTTGATTGTTTCTTGTCCTGCCTTCAGGTGCTTTGGAGAATAGCTTGACCCCCAAACTCTTCTTTGGGGCAGCCCCTCAAATATTGAAGACTGCTATCATGTCACCCCTGGTCCTTCTTTTCATTAAACGAGACATACCCAGTTCCTGCAACCGTTTTTCATATGTTTTAGCCTCCAGCCCCCTAATCCTCTTCGTTGCTCTTCTCTGCACTCTTTCTAGAGTCTCAGCATCTTATTTTATATCGTGGCGACCAGAACTGGATGCAAATATTCCAAGTGTGGTCTTAAATAAGGCAGGATAAAGCGGGTACTACTAACACTTTGCGTTCTCTTGAAATGATCCCTCTTGTAAATGCAGATTAGGATTGCATTGGCTTTTTTTGGTGGCTGCTTCACACCGGCTGGCTCATTTCCCTAATTTGCAATTGCACCCAAACCCATCCTAATCCGATGTCCTTAATTCTCACTCCATGTTTACAACGGGTGGTTAATTTCTCACAACCTCAACTTAGCATGAGGGGCAAATCCACCCGGAGTCTCGCCATCTCATTTGATCAATGACATCACCAGTTTGACTTCACGGGACAATTAAACAATTGTTTAATCGATGTTTCTCATTTTAAAAAAAACCAAAAACAAATGTTGGTTAAGAGTTCCCAGTTCAGCCGAGAATCGTTGAAATGGGTTGATTTGGGAATGGGTAAATTTTGATAAGGCTGTTGAGCCCCCCCCATCTCCACCTGGAGAATCCCCCCCCTCCCTTATCTCTGTGGGGAAGACACTTAAGTGTGTATTGCATGCGAGTGTGTGTGTTTGTGGGCAGAGATCCTTGCCTTGTATTCGAAGAACGATGAATCTGCAAAAATCTACTATTTATAATTTTTTTTCTTTTCTTCTTCCCTCGTTTGTTCTTTCTAGATATTTGGATGTTCCTTTGTTCTGGGGATTTAATATGGAGGAAGTGTTGCGAAGGGGAGGGAAGGGGGAAGGAGGACACAAGTCTTGTAAATGTATTTGTATTAAAAGTCTTGTTCTTTTAAATTCAGCCTGTTGTGTCTTTTTTTTTTTTTTCCTGTTTCAACCCGGTTGGGTGGATCAATCCCAAGGGGAGCAGACTCAGAGCAACTGAAAATTGAAATGAGTGAATTGGAGAGGAAGGTGGAGGGGGGGCTTCCTTATCCTTCACCCTCTAATTGGGGAGGGGTCTTTTGTAAAAGCAGAGACCGATACTCCTTGTTACCGAGGGACAGAAGGCTAATCTGCAACCTCCGAGCAAGGCCTTAG